GAAAGCAGTTTTGTGCCGTGAATGCTGAGGTTAGGAAGGTGTGAAGCCAATTTAGCTTCCAAATGCTCTGAGCTTTGATGCAACACCAGATAATCTGCAAATTCAGGTCCTTGATGCTGAGTGGTTAATCGGGATCAGACTCTGCCAGGTGCTTGCTGAAATCAATAGAACTGTGCACATAATAATACAATGCTGATCAAAAATCATGGTAGATGCATGTTCTGTGAGTGATTTTTTTATGCACCTCCTAGGTGTTCCTAGATGTCTTGAAAGACAAAAATAATTCTTCAGGCTTTATGAACAGGAACTCTTTTTTTTTTCTTTTTTTTTCCTTTTTTTTTTTTCTGGGAGAACCTCTTATTTGCTGGTTGGAAGCTTTTTACCCTACAAAAAATAGCAATCTTGTCAGGTGTTGTGGATGTGGAGTTCATCACAGTGTTGGCACTGCAGCAAAAGCTATTTTGCTGCTTGAAAGTTGGAGTTCTTCACAGGGCCCACGTGTTTATGATGACTAATTTCCCACTCTTATCTAAGAGTTACTTAATCTAAGAGTTCCCAGTGGGATAAATGGAACAGGAATGAGGGTGATAGTTTGCAGCTGTCAAGGTGAAAAGAGAGAAAATGCCCACATATTGCACTAGACGGGCTCTTAAAAAATGTGCTAGCTTTGCCAGGAAAGATAAGGGTCTCTCTATAGCTGCAAAGTTTCCATAAAAGATACTGTAAATACTGCAAAAGATGGAAAAATGGTTGTCCAGGCTGCCCCTTGGGGATGGTCCCAGGCCTGTGCCACTGCTGCTTTATGCCTCCGGTACTCCTCAGTGTTACTGACACAGGTATAGCCTGGCAGCCTCAGTTCCCTCTGAAAAACAGTGATAAAACTGCATCCCTGTATCCTTTGGGATGCTTTGGTGCTGGGCTGGTGGTAATCATGAAGACATGCACAGGAAAGCTGAGGTTATGTAACTCTAGATATTCGGGGATCTAAGGCAACAAGTGTGTTTCTAGATATTGCTATTTTTCTCTAAATCCATAGCATCCAACTTGGGAAGCGTAGAGATCCGCATTGTAAATACGGCTTGTACAAATGACTCTGATTCCTGCTCTGAGGGATGTGAGGCTGCAAAAAGGGATGTTACAGCTCCCTAACTGGAGAGTTTCATGGTAGCTTGGGCCCTACTGCAATGGCCTGGGAACCTGCAGAGACTTAGGATGAGATTCATCTGCCGTACATGAGAACTTGTTGTCTTGGGTTCCCTTTGGGGAAGGTCAGATACAACAGGGCCCTCATGGGTGGGATTTTCCACCCTAACAGAGGTAGTTCAGATGGGTCAGACAGGTGCCCTTTTCTCCGTTGAATACAATGTGAGCTCGGGGAGCGAGGTAGTACGTAGCTTTGCACACAGTAGATGAGTCTTGCAGCTGCCATTGGGTCAACACGCTCAGGGTTCATCATCTTGAGGGCATGATGGTTGTCCTAAAAATAAGTGCTCAACTACCACGTAATCCCATGGCTGCTCCAGCTTCTCTTGGAGGATACAAATGAATCACCCCAAGTTGTGCTGTCATCTAATGAGTTGCTGAAAGCCCTCGCTCCAGCTGAATCCTCAGGGGTTCCTGAATTAACTTTCAAATTAAGCAGAGGAATACAGTCTGATACCGTGCCTATCATTGATCAGGTTAGACGCTGTCTTTGTTTCACTCCCGGCTCTTTAAAATGGATTGGGATTGTCAAACCTGTGTTCCTGGAGCAAGGCATGTCGATAACCGGCGTTTGTGTGGGTATGTAGGGCTGAATGTGAGTTTCTCATTATACAAAGTTGAACATTTTAGCTCAAGAATCGCAGACAAAGCGTGGCAGCCTCAAGAACAGCATTTAAATCTGCAAAGACCCAGCTTTAGCTACAAGACTTCTTGGTGTTACACAGTGTCTCTGGATGTACTTTTATAGAATACCTCACGCTGAAAATTTAATTAATCAGAGAAGGGCTATCACACTACCAGCCTGACTGAATTATTTTTTAGTGAAAAAATGTGTGTTTAAAAGTCTAAATGCTCCTGTTACAATGACTAATTATCTCCAGAAAATTGAAAGCACACAAGAAATTATCAAGAAAGAACATTTAGACATCATCTGTCTTCCTAAAAACACTTGTCTGAATGTATTAAGAATATTATTGCAGCATAGATGTTGGCCATTTGGAATATATTTTTTCTGCCTTCTCTTTAAGTGCATTCTTGCTACAATTTTTTTTTTTTATACAGTGTCTGAATGGATTAAAGATTTATTGAATTTTTTAACTGGAATGATTCTCTGGAGAAGACTGATTTCCCTGCTGCCTCAGATTCAGTTTAATTTTTGTGTTACTTATGAAATAATGAGAAATATACATCAAAGTAATGGGGAGAAGCAATGGCACGGAGCACTGGCGGCATGTCACAACGTGTAGGTCAACAAGGAGTCTCGCCTCTTGTATTTATGAACTGTGACGGTATCACAGGGATCGCAGCTTGCAGAAGCAAACTGATTGCCAAAGCCAGAACTAGTGGAGCATACACTCCTATAAATCTGCGTACTCTTATTTTTTATTGACTGAGGATCAGAGTTTATTAATTATATAGGGCTTGATGACGACATATCTTGTAAAAAAGAAAGAGGCATAGAACAAAGCTCGATAGCTTGTCATTAGGCAAAATGGAGACGAGACTTTTACAAACCAGCATGGTTTTACAAGAGTAAAATTTACGCCTGCTCAGAGGGTTATACAAACTCAGAGCATCCTTAGGTTTTTAAATGGGAATTTAGTAATGGATTAGCCCTCTGTCAGTCATTTCAAACAGACTGAAAATTACAGCAGGGAAACAAACAGCATCTGGTTGTTCTTTTTAGGAAACGGTGCAAAACCAAAACAAGAAAAGGACCAAAGGAATCCCAGGCAAAGAAAAAAAAGATCAATCATGTAGATTACACAGGATGGCCAGAGACATCAGCAGGTGTGTATTTGATAACTGTTTTCCTGGTTGACAGAAGGCAGAACTAACACTGTAAACGCTACCTCCTGAAAAAGAGCCAAATCTTTGTAGCAGAGAGCAACAGCAGTTCACACCATTGCTGGACCAGCGTGGAAGAGAGAGCAGGGGGATGGAAACAAGTGCTTGAGAACAGCACATTTGTTAAGCCAGCCTTGCTCTAGGAGCCAGTACGCCATTGGACTAAACCCTCTGAGATTTTCAAAACTTCTGTCCACTAAAATCTTCGGCTCATTACACAGGGTTCAATATCATGGTCTGAATTAAATCCATTTATAGTAGCTTTGGAGGAGATCTAGGCTGGGTGGAATGCCTTTAGCAAGGAAACTAAATGTTAATAACCAGCCCAGTGAAGCCTGTGCAAACAGTTAGCCAAAGAAAATAACAGCAAAATGAAAAATAAAGTATGTATTCCTCCTGCCTTTGCACATGCAAGAAGTCCCAGGTCCAGCTTTGCATCAATCCGCATGGTCTCAGAGTCAAGGGCCTGAGTCATATGTCTGAACCTGGCAAGATCAAGTGAAGTTTATTCCTCGAATGAATATTATCTTTTGTTTTCTAAATCTTTCCAAGACTAAGAAAAGGACTTTTATTAACCTGGTACAACATTTTAGCCAGGTTCTCCCCTAGTGTTCGCAATGCCTCCATTCAGCATGTTCAGATATACTTATATGTCAAAAATGGAGGGAAGAAAAAAGAAATCAGTGTTTATACACATTAATGGTCACACATAAAAAAGTAAGTGGATGTTGTGAATTATTCTCACATATTTTTTTTTTTCTAATTGTTAAGAAAGACTGCACTGATGCCAGTAATACATAAAAACCAACTGAGCACATTTTGGAATTACTGTGGAGCTTTTCATCAACAGAAAAGGCCTAGCCCCACTCGCTGCTGTAATTACATGATGCATAGCACAGTTGTCTCACCCTTCTTTCTCCTTATATGAACAACAACCACTCTGTCATGCTCGCTGTATTAAAACAGCTAATATCTCCAAATAATTACTTGGTGCTAATCATGCTTTTAAAAAATATTCATTCCAAATGATGGCATCCCTTTATCATTGGTGCTGCAAATGAAGACGCATTAGTTTCTGGAGAGCAGCACCATCAACTTTCATCATGTCCTCCTGACATAGCAAGTCCTGACATCCCTACTGCGCTGCGTGAACTTTCATTGAAAGCCTAAACAGGCTTTAAAGAGATGCTGCAGCTGTTCTGAATTTTAGTGAGTGAAGAAGGCTCTGCAGCCACAGGTTGCTCTCTCCAAAGCCTTCCTTCCTGAGCAGAGGACGCTTTTTATCTGCCTGTATTTTCGCGGTTGCCTGGCACACAGTCACTGTTTCTTGGTGTTACTTTTCAACTTTTGCCACCCAAACATAAGCCCCAGAGAAGGGGCAGATAAGTAATTTGCTTCGATAGCTGACAGATCCAAGGTTGCAGGAAAGAAAAAAAAAAGGCTTTTTTTGGAAAGTTTTGCCCAGATTGGTCCTTGTTTAAGCGGTCTGGTGCTGTGTTTGGTTTAGGACAAAATAATGGTGCAGCTTCTGGCTTGTGACCTGAAGTGGCTGTGTTACCATAGTTCAGTGACTCGCCATTGTCGGCTGCGTGGTGGTTTCAGGATTTATCTGGCTGGTTTCACTTCCCGTTGTGGGAGAAGAGAACACACACAGCTGGTTACTGCAGCTCAGCCACAGCTCCCCAGGCAGTATGTCCCTGGCTTCTGGGTGTACATCTGTGCTCTAGGATTGCTATATGGAAAAAAAAAAAAATGGTTTTGGGCTCCCCAGGTATCTGTGTCCCCCTAAAACATTGATCAACTCAGAGACCACTGAGGTGGTGTGGGGCTGGAGCACATGGTGCACCAGGAGCAGTTGAAAAGACTATGTTTGTTCAGCCCAGAGAAGAGGTGACTCAAGAAAGAACTTTTTGCTGTCTATGCACACCTAATGGGAGAGTGTAAAGAAGATGGGGTTCGACTCTGCTCAGAGGTGTGTGGTGACAGGACTAGAAGCAACAGGCAAAAGTTGCAAGGTGGGAAATTCCAGTTCGGAGTCGGAAAAACTTTTTTACCATGAATGTGATAAAATGTTTGTGGAGGTTGCCCAGAACATCGGGGGGATCTGCACCTTGACTATGTTCAGAATTTGGCTGGACATGGCCCTGAGCTTCATCATCCAGTTGGATATGCTTTGCATGATGGGGTAGATGAGAGACCTCCAGGGGTTCCTCCCAACCAAAATTACTCCGTGATTAGTAACAAATCCCACTGAAGACTCAAAACCAAGGAGGTGAATAAACTTTTATCTCTTGTTGGTTCCCCCACCTTGTGTTGTGGGGCTGGGCTTGTGATGTGGGCAGTGCTGTCTGGGTTCCAGGTGTCTCAGAGGCAGGTGGGATCTGCATATGGGGTGAGGAATGAGGGCATGACATTATGGCACCATATCTGCTCTGGATGGGCTGGGAAGAGGTGGAGGAGCCCTTCTGTGAGCTGAGGGGAACACTGACCCCTGTGGGGCCACAGGTGATGGGTTTTTACCAGCTATTCAACAAGCCAGGTTTCTTGCTTCCTTGGAAACTTCACGTAGAGGAAGGATGCTGCGTTTTCTGGCTTGTTTTGATCACTGCTCCTCGAGCCCTGTCCCTTGAGCTGGCCTCCGACTGCCACCCTGCACACCAGTGCTGCTGCTTAATGTCACAGTGTTTTATTGACACCCCATCAGTGGAGCCACGTGGACTTTCCAGCCCCCGCTGCCGAGCTTGCCAGGACCTGTCAGCTGCTCCCCCAACACTCCTGCCCGTTTCAGCCACTCCTGCCTCTTATGGATGTAGCTCAGTGCAATCAAGAGACCTTGGAGCTTGGTGTGGAGTTGAGACACGAGCTAAATTTACCCCAATATTTTTTTTAGTAAGTTCAGAGCTTCCTATAGCAAAGGTGGAAGTTTCTTCCTTGCTGGAAATACCTTCTCCTGCGCCCTGCTGTGAGCTTGTTAATACGTTCCCGGGAAAGCAATACTGGAGGCAAAATAGGGGTGGCTCTCTGTGAAGCCTGGAGTGTTTCTTTGGAGTCAATGTATTGCTAATTTCCTCGCAGACTAAAGAAATAACCTGTGGTTAAAACAGCACTGAAGTAAGCAGCTGTTTTCTGGACAGGCTCTTTAAGACCTTCAAAGGCAGCTAAGCACTCGTGAATGGAGTGAACCAGGCTTGCCTGGAAATCAATATACACAAGCTGAATTTTTACATTTTGGAAATGCAATCAGTTCATTTGGGTGCTTAACCATCCACTCATCCTCAGCTGAGTGCTTCAAAATATTCAGCATGTATGTTCTTGTGTACCTGTTTTATGTCTACTTTTATTATCTCCTCTTGCTGCTTCACAGCTGAGGAGATGTGCAGCTACTGTTTTCAAAAAGCAAAAGCATTTACCATGATGCTTTCTTTCTGAAGTTTTGAAACTAGCTTTATTTAAAAATCTCAAAACACAGTGTGGGCACCAAAGAGTTAACCTCCCCAAAGTTTATTTGGGATTGGATTTATTGAAGTACCTTCAGATCACCGTTGTGCATTTACTTGTGATCTAGATCAGCTGGGAAAATGTTGGGGAAAAAAATGTTTTGATTTTTTTTTCTCCCTTTCTATTGCACCTGTACTTTTTGCCTCTTCCTTTTGAATCCCAAACCCAGTCTTGCCTTGCTCCCCCAGAGCGTATGTGTCCTGTCCTCCCACCTGGGCTGTCCTGTTCTTGTGACGGTCGCCTGGCCTGGCATCAGCATAACGAAGCTCCAGCACAGCGAGGAGCAGAGTGTCCTGACCTTGGACAGATTTCTTCCTATCCCCAGGGGAATTTTTTTCACATTTTCCAACTAATTCTCTGGAGCCCTGAAGAGGAGCACCCATTGCTCTTATTGAGAAAAAAAAATAAAAGTAATCAATATTCAGCTTACTTACTAGTAAAAATGCTACTCAGCAAAACAGCCCTGATCTGAAGTTGTCAGCTGAGAAGCTCTTGGTTTTCACCCAACCCTCATTTCTTTGAAATGCTTTCCTCAACTTACCGAACCCACTTGTTCTTCAGACAGCTCAGCCGAAAATGTGCCGGGTCTCCCCAAAATGCAAGAGCCTTTTCTGGGCCTGACCATGGGCAGTTCAATATCCTTACCAAAACAAAAGGGCAGGGGTATTTATTTGAGCTGCATATCACTGAGAGGAACGGAGGCGGTGGACGTTAAGTGGAGCTTGTAAAAGCAATTTGGTTGAGAGGTGGGGCTGGTGAGCAGAGGTCGAGTAGAAAACCACTCAAGCTTTCTGCTAGGCATTAAAGATTCCCAATTTTATGAACTTTGCTGGAGTCGTGCTAGCAAAGTGGAATGCATTTCCCGGTATAACCCAGCAGATTTCAGTTTAACAGGTGTAGCTGATCTCTGCCTGCAGAGGTGAACGTCGGAGCCTGGGGCTGGAGTGTCCATCTTATAGATGTGTCTTATAGCAAGTGTCCGTCCTATAGATGCTTTTTGGTCTCTTAAAGGCTGTCTGGAAAAAAAAGACAAATGCTGGTTGTACTTCACTATGGCTATAATAGGAGGATAAAGAAGAAAAGTGGAGGAGAATGAGCCAAAAGCAGAGGAGCGTAACAGCAGGGAATAGGGTGGTGTTAATTGTTTTCCCTCTGTCTGAGACTGAGTGAGCCCATTACCCATAAATCTCAGGGTGCCACAGTATTCTAGTAATACGTGCCATCTCAGCCAGTAAGACAAATGGATTTGAGGAATGCTTTAACACTTCCTTGGCTTCAGATCAATGTTTTGGGTAGTTTTGTGTTTTCCAGTGTTTCACTGATGGGACTGGAGGAGGTGGCATGTGGGTAGGCTAAGGCCAAATCCCCATCTGCCCTGAGTTAATGAGTGGGGTGGGATAGGAAAGGTTGGTAAGGAGAGGTGGATTGGAATCAGTTTCCCCTGTTGTTGGTTTTGAAGTGATGGGAGGGTAGGCTGGGCGCTTGGCAGAAACTGGATTTAGGTAACATGGTTTGTGATGTGACTCTAGTTGAGCAGCCAAGATCATCCTCCTACAGCTGTTATCTGGAGGGATTGGTAGGCAGTATAACACTGGCTAGTCCAGGTGGCACTTGGCCCTGGGCAAGCATTTGCCAAGGTCTTCAAAACTTCCATCAACCTTAGACAGCTACATCGCAAACAGGAAAGCTGAACAGTTAGGAGACACATGGGGCATGGCTGAAGACCCCATTAGTCACCCATAAAGTTGCTTATGTGGCTCCGTGATGGTTGCTCACAGTCTTCACACCCCAACAGTGCCGTATCCCTACTCATTTGAGGTGAAATGGGATCACTCCTGCGCAGCATGAAGATGAGTTGGCCTCAGTTGTTATTCAGAAGGTTTTGCTGTTTATGGGCTTGTTGTTGGTGACAATGTTCGTGCTGTGGAAGGCACAGAGAGATGTGGGGTCTGCCAGTAGTATTTTACGCTGCTATGCTTTGAATAAGGAGGAAAACTACCAGACACATAATTCATTCCTAATATTACGCTATGAAGCTTTTTGCTGCTTGCCGCCCTGTGGATGTAATTAGTCATGGGATCTCTTTTTTAGATGTAATTACACCATTAAGCATACTTTCACTTCAACCACAGAAAGGCATGGTTAGACTCTGTAATTACACCATTTAATGGCATTACATAATTCTACGTAAGAGTATATGAAGCAAACAATGTATGGCTCAGACTTCCTTTGCCTCGCTGCCACTTTGATCTTCGAAACGGTCGCTGGGAGTGCAAAGTCCACATCATACATCTGGGTAAGTCAAGCTTGAAGAAGCTGTTTTCTGCCCAGAAGCACATCAACCAAGTGTGATAAGGCCACTCATGTTCGTAACTAATTGAAGGATCTGGGCTTAAGTCACTGGCTACGATGTTTTCAAATTTGGGGAGGTTGTTAGTGGTTTGGTGACTCATCATACCCCAGTAACTGTTGGGGTTGGTGTCCCCAAAGAAGGGAGGACTTTAGGGTCAGCTTGGTGAGGGACTAGAAATATAAATAGACATTGTGAAGGGCAATCATAGACTCATAGAATGCTTTGGGTTGGAAGGGACCTTTAAAGGTCATGAATTTCAATCCCCCTGCAATAAGCAGGGACATCTTCAACTAGATCAGGTTGCTCAGAGCCCCATCCTACCTGATCTTGAATGTTTCCAGAGGTGGGGCATTTCCTACCTCTCTGGGCAACCTGTCCCAGCATTTCACCACCTTCATCATTAAAAATGTCTTCCTTATATCTAGCCTGAATCTACCCACTTTTAGTTTAAAAGAAGTTCCTGGGATGACCAAGAGTATAACTGCAATGCTAGAGCATGGCTGTGGCAGGTTAATGGACCTTTTCATGGGGACTGGACTGGCTGAAGAGAAGCGTATCTGTCCTCAGCTGTCCTTGACCCCAGTAACTACAGGTCTTGAAGTGGGTGGCACATCAATTTAGAAGGGATGGCAACTTCAGAGCATATCTAAAAGATGTTTGCTGCATGGCCTCAGTGCCCTTCTCATTGGATGGTGTCACATGCCCATGGCTGGTGCTGTCCCTGGCAGTCCCTGTGAGGAAGCCGAGGATATGAGGCAGTGAGACAGACCAGATGAGGGGGGAGTCCCTGCAAAGGAAAATGCTGTGCACCCAAATAAGGGTGCTTCACCAGCGTTGCTTCTCTGGCTCAGGGACGTGGAGCCATAAGGCTGGGATATAGCTTGTTTGGTGTGGCTTTCACCCGTAGCTATCTCCTCCTGGACTAAAATCTCTTTGCTTACATTTTTGTAAGCTTTGCTTACTTTTATAGTTTTGCCATTTGTTTTTACTGCTTTCTTGAGAAAAAGAAAGCGAAATTGTGTTTATTGTGTTTCTGTAGTTAAAAGAATCAAGTCATGAGTCCAATCTTACAAAGAAATCAGAACGAAACAACGTGAGCTTGGGAGCTGCACAAGTTGCTCACTTCCTCTGGGTTTCTAAATAAGTACGTGTCCATGAGACATGTTTTTGTTCCTGTTTCTTCTATACACAACATCACGGAAGCTTTAAGTAAAATCTGTCCCTAAATAGGCATCCCTGGGATGTGCAGCTGCCAAAACAAAAATCAGGCAACAAAACTGGGCTTGTGTCCTGCAAGCAATTTATCCTACTATCTTTTTTTTCTTTCTCTTTAA